AGTGTCTCATCAGTCATTGCTGCATCTTCAATAAAGGTAAGTGTCATTTATTCTTCATTTAGTAGAGTAGTACATGCACAATATCGTGCATGTACTACTCTACTATTGTGCATGTATCCTTCTCTTTGTGTGTAGGAAAATGTATATTTCATGTGGTAAAATTTTTTTTTTCATAATTTTGGGTGTCTTGCACGGATTAATTTGATTTCCATTATTTCTTATGGGGAAAATTCATTCGCGTACCGATCATTTCGCATAACAATCAGCCCTCTTGCACGGATTAAAGTCGCTATGCGGGGGTCCACTGTAGTATAGTAGAGTGGACCCCCGACGTACGATATTAATTCATTCCAGAAGGCTGTTCAGGTGCTGTTACCGAAAGAATTTGCTCCCATAAGGAGTATTGTAAATTAGATCAGTCCATTTCAGACCCCCAAAAATACACTTACAAAAGCACTTACAAAAATACACTTGCATAATTGTTCGAGTTGAGAGCTGATTGTAAGCTGGGGGTCCGCTGTATATAAAACATGAAATAACTTTAAAATACTTAAAATTTTGGAAGGTTTCCAGACATAATGGAGAAACGTGATTCTCACGAAGAATGTAAACAAACTAGGTGGGATGTGATGACTATTAGAAAGTCAGGTGGGGGGAGTCGTAGCAGTTGTAATAGTGGTAGAAGGTGGTAGTGATGGTGGTAGCAGTTGCAATAGTGATAGAAGGTGGTAGTGATGGTGGTAGTGGTTGTGATGATGGTAGAGGGTGCCTTCTTCAGTGATTCAGCGATACTACTAACTCCTCCAATGTTGTTGGAGTTATATAGGACTACAGAAAACACCACCGCCTCAGCTGCTGCTTCACCACCATTCTGGACGGCTTACTCTCAGTGGCCCTTATACACCCAACAACAACACAACACAACACCTTGTGACATACATAATGACTTACTTTATTCATTCTAGAGTATATTCCATGTCTCTGTGTTATTAGTATTGTTTATTATGTCATATTAGTTGAATTGTGATAGATAAATAAGCCGCAGAGTTGATATTAGTGTCATATTCTCCAACAATAAACTCGCCATCCCTCCCTCGCACAACCAAGTCTTCAATAAAGGTAAGTGTGATGTTAAATAAGAACATAAGCACTTAAGAAAGGAGGAACACTGCAACAGGCCTGGTGGCCCATACTAGGCAGGCCCTTCACAAATCCAACCCACTAACAGAACAAATGCTATCCAAGTAAAAAGCTCAGGTGCAAGTCTGACTCAAATCCAACTCCTCTCCCTCATGTATTTATCCAACCTAAATTTGAAACTACTCAATGTTTTAGCTTCGATCACCCTACTAGGCAGACCGTTCCACTCCTCAACTACCCCTATTACCAATGTTCATTTACATTTTATTAGTGCTTTACATTTATTTGGTATCCTTTTCTGCATGTAAATCTATATTTAAGCTAGGGAAGTGACCCCTGAAGTGACCTAGAGTCCTTATGGAGGGGGATTTTCCTTCCAAACAATAACCTCTCTTCCCACTCTCCTCCTCCCTGTCTTCCATTCATCAACAATAGCCTTCAGTAAAGGTAACTGTAATGTTGAATGTTCATTCTTTTGTGCATGTAAATCTATCTTTAAGGTAAAAAAGAAATTTGTTGATACTTCTGGGTGTCTGGAATGAATTAATTGGATTTACATTATTTCTTATGGGGAAAATGGATTCGAAAATCGTCAATTTCGATAATAGTCACACTTCCAGGAACGGATTAATTACAAAAAACGAGGGACCGCTGTAATTTGAAATGTCCGTATTAGCGGAACACCATAAAGTGGGGCCCTGCTGTATATAACTTCTCTCATCCCATCATCCTTCATATATACTGTATTGATTATGTTGCATTTCAAATAAGTACAAATTACTGTAATCTATTTTGCTTGGTCCCTGGACATGTCAATGTTCAGGCAGTGAACATGCAGACTTGGCTGCTCAGTCAACTACGTATTTAGGATCTCCAGATTTCTCATAGTGGTATTCCTTACTCGGTCTGTATTGAAGTGCTCTCTCGCCACTGCTGGCAACAACATTGGTCCATGTTAGATAACAACAAGGATTCTGTGAAACCACATTAGGGATTTTGGCCATCATCTTCCCACAAGTTTTCTGTTTGGGAGACTGCATTCTTGTGCACGTGTATTGGACACTCGCGAATTAGATACCATGTGGAGAAACAACCAGCATCCCTCTGCAAGAACTGTCAAGTTTCACTGTCTGTTCAACATATCTTAATACAGTGGACCCCCGCATAACTATCACCTCCGAATGCGACCAATTATGTAAGTGCATTTGTACGTGTATGTTTGGGGGTCTGAAATGGACTAATCTACTTCACAATATTCCTTATGGGAACAAATTCGGTCAGTACTGGCACCTGAACATACTTCTGGAGTGAAAAAATATCGTTAACCGGGGGTCCACTGTATATTGTCTTGTCTATCAGAGGATACACCTCCAATGTTTAAATTGCCATAACATAATCACACTTTCTGACCTCCCTGAAAGTCCCACAACTGATACAGGCTCTTGCTTTTTAACAGAAAGTAACCTATTGCATCATTTTTTTTATTTCAGCTTTACTGGTGCATCAACCCCCCCACCTCCACTAACCCCTAACTTTGCACACCCTTACCCCTCACTCATTTCTAACCTTTGCACATTTCTAATTTCGAATATCCCTCCCTGCAGTGCTATATGATCTTTAGGGTTTAGTGCTTAAATTGATTAGAATAATCTGTAGCTTCATTAAATTAGATAACAATTCTTTCTTCGTTATTTAGCTCTGTTGGATTATCTTAGGTTAAATCTTCATCATTTGTCACCGCTGTAAAGACATTTTTCATATTAACCCAGGATAACCCAAGGCAACCAAGCAGTGACTTGCAGTATTTCTGTCAGTTCCTTTGGTTCTCTTTTATATGATGCATCTCATACAGAGGCAGCAGTGTAAGGAAACAGTCCCATGTCTTAACTTGGGAATAAGTCCCAGGTATTTCAGGTTATGAGCATAATGTTCTACCTCTGTAAATTTTACCTGAATGCATCAATTCAATATGCATAATCCTCAATTGACTTTAATTATTATTAGCCTTGACAATATAAACTATTGCCTAATTAGCTGCATAAAAGGTAGTTAACCCTTTCAGGGTTTCGGCCTTACTAGTACGGCTTAGGCACCAGGGTTTTTGACGTACTAGTACCCCTAAATTCTAGCGCCCTCAAATCTAGTGAGAGAAAGCTGGTAGGCCTACATATGAAAGAATGGGTCTATGTGGCCAGTGTTTCGCAATATAAAAAAAATCCTGCAGCACACAGTGCGTAATGAGAAAAAAAAAAACTTTGACAGTGTTTTTGGATTAAAACAGCGACTTTGCACTGTATTTTTGTATGGTATTTATTGTTGTATTCTAGTTTTCCTGGTCTCATTCTATAGAAGGAAGACATATTACAGAAATTGAGATGATTTTGACTGATTTTACAATGAAAAGTACCTTGAAATTGAGCTCAAAGTAGCAGAAATGTTCGATTTTTACCAAAGTTCAAAAGTAAACAAATCGTGCTAAGCGTCCAATACATGTCAACTGGCGAGTCTAATATTCTTTCACAAGTGTGCCGACATTATTTATACCATTTTTTACACTAATGCAGTAGTCTGCATAACAGTAAATCTTCTATTTTTTGTGAGAATAAAAATTCAAAGTGGAAAGCAAAAGAATGTAAGAAGGGCATTGGGACGTGACTGATAACAGGGGAAATGTCATTTTAGTGCCAGGAATGTCTGTCTTGTTTATTCTGGACCCTATTTGGAATTGGCATCTTTTGAAATTTGTGTGAAATTGGCAAAATTGCTAAATTCTGACCACTGTATTGGATAGTTAAAATCGGTAAATGGGTGGTTTCTTGCATTCATTCGGTAGAAAAAAATAAAGTTCTAGCGAAATATTCATGATTTTTGTCAACTAGCACAGTGGAATTGGCCGAAAATAGGGCTCAAAGTGGGCAAAATTGCCGATGCGTAAACATCGTCAAGTTCGCTAACTTCGCGAGAGCATAATTCCATGAGTTTTCCATCAAATTTCATACTTTTGGTGTCATTATGATTGGGAAAAGATTCTCTATCTTTTCATAAGAAAAAATAATTTTTTTTTTTTTAAATTTGGGCGACCCTGAGAACAAGTCTCTGAGAGGGCCTGTCGACCCTGAAAGGGTTAATGCCTGGCTGTAAATAATGGGTATGATACTGTACTTCTAAATTATGTTCAATTTCCCTGGGGGCAATATTGATTTAGTTTCCTATCCTTTTGAAATTTGTAGTAAAGTTATCTAGACAGTGTTAAAAATTTTATAGACATGGGTTAATTTCAACTGTTTTAGTCATGTTTGCCATTATTTGCATTTATTTTACAGTACTGTATTAGCAGTTCATCCTAATAATAATAAGAATAAAAATTTATTTCTTTGCTAAAGTTACAGTGTGTGTTTACATAATTTAATTGGAGCAAAGAAAGCCACTATCATACCTGGATAACTTGATTTTTTTTTTTCTCGGAATTTGTTAGAGTAGAATACCATGATGAGCATTGTATAAAAACAAGATAGGGTAAGCACCATGTATTCATCGGGGGTATATTGAAACCTTTAGGTAAATTGTACATACCATGCTGCTGCTGCAGCAGCAGCATGACTGTTAAAAAACCCAATCCTCATATTCACTTGTCACATTATATTGTCCATAATTTGTTTCCCTGATAGGCAACAATCAAAGGGTATTCATAGACATTCCACCTTGCCTGACATTGAGATAGGTTTCTCATTTCATACTAAAATAGTTCTTTCAGTTTTTTGTAGAGTATTATCCTTTGTAGAGTGTTATACTTGCCTCTGCAAGGAAAATGAAAATGTGCATAAATATATATTTTTTTAAAATATTACTTTCAATTACAGATGAGAGTATAGAGGAGAAAATGACTACAAGGAAGCGAGGAAGAGATGAGGGTTCCTCTACATCTAATGCTGCAGTAACTCCACCAGAGACTCTGCGGGGACAGAGAAAGAACCTTACATATACCAGCCCAACACAGACAACTCGGGAGTCACCTCCAAGAAAAACCCGTCGAGGCATTTCCACACCAGACACTCCTCAAAGAACTAGTCCCAGAGGACGTGCAGGAGGCCGCTCACCTGCTGCTGCTTCAAATAAATCTCCCAAAAGTATATCACCGAGAGGTAGGGGCCAAAGAAATAGAGGAGGAAGTACAGATTCAAATGCCAGCAGTGTGGGAAACAGTGTTACATCTTCAACTCCATCAAAGAGACGGGGTCAGAGAGAGAGTAACAGCTCAGGGATGAGTGCAGCATCAGAAAACTTGCAAATTACGCCTCCTACAAGTAGAGGACGCAAAAGAAAGAAGCGAGATAGCCCACCAACAGTTAATTCAAAGAAAACTAATGGTGCATCACCTCAGTATTCCCCTAGAAGTTCTAAAAAAGGAAAGAGCTCCGCTCAGGCAGGAACTTCTTCACCAGCTGCAAATGGGCGAGATGGTCGCAGACCTCAGGACAGAAGGGGTATATCTGAGACACTGCCACAGGAAGATCTAGATGAGGGTACAGATGAGGAATCATTACATTTGAATGATGAAGAGAATAGCATTCTTCAGAATTCTACAGATTCACTAAACCTTGCAGAATCTGAAACTTCAGCTGAACTACAGAACAGTGCATCACATCATGAAAATGATGCTGAAAAAGAAGAGAAAGTCAAATCTCCTCATGTGAATAATGATGAATGTGATGAAAGTGTAAGTGAGAATCAAACAATACAAAATGATAATGTTCAGCAACATTTGGAAAAACAAAACTCATGCAAAAATGTTGAACAACATTCAGAAAAACCAAAAGAGTTTTATAAAAATGAGGCTCAATATTCAAAGGCTGAAAAAGAGCCTAGCGAAAATAATGTTCAGCAGCATTCAGATAAACAAAGTGTGTCATTAAGTTATTCAGACAGTGAGTGTGTATCATGTGAAAATGAGGTCCAGCACTCAAAAAAGCAAAGTGACTCTTGTGAAAACAAGGCTCAACAGCATTCAGAAAAACAGAGAGAGTTGCATAAGGAAGAAATTCAGCAACATTCTGAAACTCAGTGTCAGTCATGTGATAATGAGAGTCAGGAAAATCATGACAAACAGAAGGAATTAGGTGTGGAAGACCTCCAGCATTATTCCCGAGGAGAGAGAGAGGCATGTAAAAAAGACATAGAACAAAGCAAGTCAGTACTTCAGAATTATTCTAAAGAACATAGCCAGTTGGTAGAGGAAGAGTTTCAAAAGCATTCTGAAAACCTGAAAGAGTTTACAAAAAAGGCAGTTCAGCAGTCTAATGAAAAACAGGTCAAGCTGTGAAGGAAGACACTTTACAATCTTGTGACAGAGAGAGTGAGTCATGTGAAGGAAAGTTTCAACAACATTGTGGCAAACCAGAAGATTCTTGTGAAATAGAGGTTCAGGAGCAGTCAAAAAAACAAACAGTGCCATGTGAAGAAATGGTTCAACATTCTGAAAAACAAATTAGTGTAAAGTTAGAAAGTAATTCACAAAAGCAGACATATGTATATGAAGAGAATAAAGAACAATCTGAAAAGCAGATAGATGTATGTGAGGAGAATAAAGACAAATCTGAAAAGCAGGCAGATGAATGTGAAGATTGCATAGAAAAATCTGAAAAGCAGATGGATGTATGTGAAGAGAATAAAAAATCTGAAAAGCAGATAGCTGTATGTGAAGAGAATAAAGAAAAATCTGAAAAGCAGACAGATGAATGTGAAGATTGCATAGAAAAATCTGAAAAGCAGATGGATGTATGTGAAGAGAATAAAAAATCTGAAAAGCAGATAGCTGTATGTGAAGAGAATAAAGAAAAATCTGAAAAGCAGACAGATGACTGTGAAGAGAATGAAGAAAAATCTGAAAAGCAGACAGATGTAAGTGAAGAGAATAAAGAAAAATCTGAAAAGCAGACAGATGAAAGTGAAGAGAATAAAGAAAAATCTGAAAAGCAGACAGATGAAAAATGAAGAGAATAAAGAAAAATCTGAAAAGCAGACAGATGAAAGTGAAGAGAATAAAGAAAAATCTGAAAGCAGACAGATGAAAGTGGAAGAGAATAAAGAAAAATCTGAAAAGCAGACAGATGAAAGTGAAGAGAATAAAGAAAAATCTGAAAAGCAGACAGATGAAAGTGAAGAGAATAAAGAAAAATCTGAAAAGCAGACAGATGAAAGTGAAGAGAATAAAGAAAAATCTGAAAAGCAGACAGATGAAAGTGAAGAGAATAAAGAAAAATCTGAAAAGCAGACAGATGAAAGTGAAAAGAATAAAGAAAAATCTGAAAAGCAGACAGATGAAAGTGAAGAGAATAAAGAAAAATCTGAAAAGCAGACAGATGAAAGTGAAGAGAATAAAGAAAAATCTGAAAAGCAGACGGATGAAAGTGAAGAGAATAAAGAAAAATCTGAAAAGCAGACAGATGAAAGTGAAGAGAATAAAGAAAAATCTGAAAAGCAGATGGATGAAAGTGAAGAGAATAAAGAAAAATCTGAAAAGCAGACAGATGAAAGTGAAGAGAATAAAGAAAAATCTGAAAAGCAGACAGATGAAAGTGAAGAGAATAAAGAAAAATCTGAAAAGCAGAGTGTTGTGTGTGACGCTGAAGAGATTTCTAAACAGGATATCAGTTTTTCTGTTTTGAATAGTGCAGCCAATAGTCATATGGGTGTGGTAGCCACAAGTCAACCTTGCTCTTCCAATAAAACTCAGTTAAGGACGTGTGATAAAGATGTTAAAGGTGATGTGCCCAGTTTAACGTCAATAGCCAGTTTGCTTACAGATAATTCTAGTCATCGAGAAAGTTCAAAGAGGAGACAAATTAGTGGTGATTCCTCAGATTCCGGAAGTCCAGAAGCGAAACCTTCCAAGAAGGCCAGACTAGGTGACAGTGTACCTGACATGCTCTTGAAGAGTGAAACTGTATGTTGTGACAGCAAATCACATAGAGAAAAGTGTAAGGGCAAGAATGAAAAAGACAGTCAGTGTGTGAATTGTGTAAAAATGTGTGAAAATCTTGATTTAGAAACGGACACTGTGACACGAGCAGAGACCTTCCTAGAATCGCTGGTTCTTACAGAGCAGCAGATCTTTGAAGTTTGTTCAGTTCTTCCAGCTCATGTGAAAGGTAAGACACCTCAAAAAATGCATACTTTTATGTCAGGTAAAGTAAATTTATACAGCTGTAACAAGCAGTGACTGCTATTAAGTTTTTCTTTGTTGGTATTGTGGCTGACATTAGGTATAGTAAGTGATTTATTAGCTTTTACAAGTTATATACAGTAAGTCCTAACTTAACGTCATTGATAGGTTCTTGGAAACTGCAGCTTTAAGCAGTTAATATAAACAAGACCACCAAACTTCTAAATACAGTGGAGCCTCAGTTTTTGTATACCCCAGTTTTTGTAGGATTCGGTTTTTGACGAGTTTTTGTCTAAATTTTGTCCCAGTTTTCGTACACCCACTCGGTTTTCATAGTTGAAAATGGTCTGTACCAAACGCGTCCACGTGACTCGACCACTCAAGCGCCCACACAAAGCATCCCATGCATTTGTGACTCAGTTTGCCTTTGTTTCTCATTGAGTGAGCATCACTCTGTGCATTCATCTGAAACATTTCGTAATAATCCATTGTTTTTTGTCCTTGTCTATTGAGTGTGACTGCTAAATAAGCCACCATGGTGCCAAAGAAAGTTCCGAGTACCAGCCCTTTGATAAAGAAGGCGAGAAACACGATAGAATATTGTGTCTTTGGGGAAGTCCGTGGGGTTGGATGTGAGTGGCCAGAATGTGAAAGAGTTGGTGGACGACCACAGGAGGAGCTAACCACTGAAGAGCTGCAAGACCTTTAACTGGAGCAGCAACAGATTGCAGCTGAGGAAATTGCTTCAGAGGAGGAGGAGGAAGAGAGAGGGGAGAACGTGCCTTCTTCAGTGATTTAAGAACGTGTGCAAAGCGGAGTGAGTTGCAAAGTTTTGTGGAGAAATATCACCCTAACAAAGCTGTTGCAGGCTGTGTCTGCAACATGTTCAATGACAATGCTCTGTCCCATTCTAGGCAGATCTTAGAGACGCCAGAAACAGACCTCTCTGGACAGATTTTTTGTGCGACGGGTACAGTGACTCTCAAGCTGGTCCTAGTGCCAGTAAAAGACAAAAAAGGGAAGTAACCCCAGATAGGGCTTTGATACCTTAACCCTTTCAGGGTTTCCAACGTAGTAGTATGGCTTATGTTCCAGGGTTATTGACGTACTAATACGCATAAATTCTAGCACTTTCAAATCTCAAGGGAAAAGGTTGGTAGGCCTAGATGTGAGAGAATGGGTGTGTGTGGTCGGTGTGCGCGGTAGAAAAAAATCTGGGACCTAGTGGCGCATTGTGGGAACGCCATTTTAGTAGACCTTGTTCACCATGCCTCGTGGTAAGAAACTCCTCACTCCTCGGTGATTTGGAACACTTTTGTTCCCCAGTGACAGTTCTAATACAGATGGAAGTGCCAGTGAAGATGAGTTTCAAGGTTTTGATGAAGTTGTGACCGAAACTAATGACCATAATACCGGTAATAGTGAGGAAAACCCAGACGACCCTCAGCCTTCCACCTCTGCTGCTGGGCCGTCTTGTTCACGTTCAGTTGTACCAGAACGAAAGAGGAAACCCCTATTTTCCCATATCCCGGACTCAGATGTGAGCAGTGGTGATGATAGTGATAGTGAATATGAACTACAAGCTCTTGAAAACACTTCCAGTAGCAATAGTGAAGCGGAATATTCTCCAGTGAAGCGTCAGTATATACGACAATATATGCGTTCTGGTAGTGTGCCATATGCTATTCCAAGGGGAAGGAGTACATCTTGGAGTACATCCCGTGACTGTACAACAGGAACAGATAGTGAAAATGAAGATGATAGTGTTGCAATTGGGATGGAAAATGTACATGGTGGTGGTGGTGCCGGCCGTGAGGCACCAGCAGTGGCCTATGCTGCCACCCACGCTGCCACCCACACCGCTGCCTCAGCTGATCTACAACAAAGGCCACCATCCCCTACCCACCCACCACACCAGCCTCCACAACCACAACCTCCACAACCACAACCACCTGTCAGTGTTCAGTACCCACCAGCAGACTGCACCTGGGATTGGCAGGAAGCTGCCAATTTTGTTCCAAATCCCCACCAGTTTGATGATAGCCAAAGTGGAATACGGCCATCTTGTACACTGGGCAACAATGCCAGTGAACTGGAATGTTTCGAGTTATTCTTTGACGAACCCCTGATGGAAATTGTTGTCAGGGAAAGCAACAGATACTTCAATTACACCATGGCGAACACAATACTTTCATCAAAATCACGTCTACACCAGTGGAAGGAGACAACTGTGGCTGAGATGTATCTTTTCTTTGCCACAATAATGCTTATGCCACATGTGTATAAGCACACTGTGAAATCATACTGGTCAACAGACCGCCTGATTGCAACCCCAGGTTTCAGTGATATAATGCGAGTGAATCGATTTGTGCTACTATTACGTATGCTTCACTTCTCAGACAAAACCAGGCCTGACAGAAACGACAGGTTGTATAAGATTAGGAATGTGTTTGTGTATCTAAAAAGAGAATTCAATATGTTTTTATCCTTCGGAAGCTTGTTTTGCGAGTCTTGGTTCGTTCAAAGGAAGCTCTTTCAAGAGTACATACCAAGCAAGAGGAAAGCTTTGGTATAAAGTTTTTTGTGCTTGTGTTTGGCTACAATGTTTTGTTTTGGGATATTATTGTGTCCTGGAAGTTATCATTGCAAAATCCCGGAAAGTTTTTGGGGGCATTTTGGGGGTGGTTGAACAATGATAGAACCATCCCTTTTGGTAAGGGGCATATCATGTATTTTTTTCAAAATGACCCCTGGGGAACAGCAACCCCCAGGGAGGTACTACCTCCTCCAAGGAATGAAAAAATGAAGCCCGTAACTGTTTACACGATGGGTGGAATGTGGTGTCTTTTTTTTTTTGTCTATACCATGAAGATTTCGGTTTTTTGCTACTTTACTTAACTAGGTCCATACACATACTATCAAGCTAATATACCCCCCTTTGGGTTTTTTTACGTGGACCCCCGCAAACGAGGGATCACAAGGATTTTTCCCTACCGATTTTTTTATCGCAAATTTTTTCCGGCCCTACCGATTAAAAACCGCTTACCGATTTTTCGTCCGGAGGTCAATTGCCCCCCAGCCAGCCTCAATGTGCCGGCCCTCCCCTTTTTTTCCAGCCAGCCTCCGTAACACAAGATAACGGAATATTTGTATTATTACGGTTTTGGGGGCTGTTTCTGGAAATGGACCATGGGCCCCCGAAAGCTTTTTAGTGCCAACCCTGTAAAAAGGGGGAGAATTAGTTGGAAAATTTAAAAAGATTTTGAAGGGTTTGGGGCAACCTGAGAAACCCATGCCAGTTTTTTGGAATCCATTGTGCCCCTTCAAAAATTTGGATGTGTGCACATGGGGTTTAACGCAAACCTTTTTAGATGAAAATACCCCGAACAGCTGTTGCAAGCCGTGCTGGTGACTATTTCAATGACAAGTTGTGGCCCATTTTAGACAAATGTAAAGGAACGGGAGGTACAGGGGTCTATGGACAGATTTGTTGTGCGACAGAGGTCCAGTGACTCTCAAGCTGGTCCTAGTGGCATTAAAAGAAGAAGGGAAGTAACCCCGGAAAAGGACTTGCTACCTCAAGTCGTATGGAAGGGATTCCCCTTCTAAACAGTAAGAAGAAAAATGCTCTCCCCCTCCTCCCATCCCATCAATCACCCACCAGATCTTCAATAAAAGTAAGTGTCATTTAATTGTGCATGCCTTTTTCAGTTTGTGTGTATTAAAATTAACATTTCATGTGGTAAAAAAAAATTTTTTTCATACTTTTGGGCGTCTTTCACGGTTTAAAATTTGATTTCCATTATTTCTTATGGGGAAAATTCATTCGCATAACGATTATTTCGCATAACGATGAGCCCTCTTGCACGGATTAAAATCGTTAACCGGGGGTCCACTGTATTTTCTTTCTAGTTCTTGTTCTTGTTTATTTCCTCTTACCTCCATGGGGAAGTGGAACAGAATTCTTCCTCCGTAAGCCATGCGTGTTGTAAGAGGCGACTAAAATGCCGGGAGCAAGGGGCTAGTAACCTCTTCTCCTGTATATATTACTAAATGCAAAAGGAGAAACTTTCGTTTTTCCTTTTGGGCCACCCCGCCTCGGTGGGATACGGCCGGTGTGTTGAAAAAAGAAGAACTGGTACACAAGCCTTTCACTCAGTGATTTTTTTGCGAGTGAACATGACAGATGTGTGTGGCACAGTGCGTGCAAATCGTAAACATATGCCCAGGTTTAACACTGGCACCAGTAGAGGTGAGGTGCAGGCGTTTGCTGCCAATGACATCGTGGCATTTCGGAGGTATGACAAACGAGATGTCACACTGTTGTCATCAGTTCACCCTAACGAAATGACAAATACTGGCAGGCAGCATAGTGACAGCAATGAACCCATTCTAAAACTTGCAGCTGTGATTGATTGCACCTTCAATATGCGCTCAGTGGACAAATGTGACATGCAGATTGGGTTTGCTGATTGTGTTCGCAAGAGTTATAAGTGGTACATAAAACTCTTTTTCCATCTTCCTGACATTTCCATGCTCATTGCTTATAATAATGTTGGGATCCTCTCCAAGATATGATACTACGTGCCGCAAACTGCCCTTCTCACACTATACCATTCACTTATATATCCATACCTCACCTATGCTATCTGTGCTTGGGGTTCAACTGCAGCAACACACCTAAAGCCAATAATAACTCAACAAAAAGCCGCAGTAAGAATAATCACTAAATCCCATCCCTGGCAACACACACCCCCACTCTTCATAGATCTAAACTTACTCCCTGTTCAGTACATCCACACTTACTACTGTGCAATCTACATCTACAGGACCTTAAATTCCAATATTAACCTTGACCTAAAACGCTTTCTTGATAGTTGCGACAGAACCCACAGGCACAACACCAGACACAAACATCTCTGACATTCCCCTTGTCCGACTAAACCGTTACAAAAATTCAATGTATGTCAAAGGCCCTAAAATCTG